TTATTAATTATTTTTATCTTATATTTCGAAATTCTTAGACATCAGATTTGAAAAACGATTAATAATTAATTGTAAGATTTCAATTAAGCCATTGACTATTATTTACAAGTCACCTTTCATTCATGCTGTCAATTTTTTTTCTCATTAAAAACTATTTAATTCGAAGCAATAACAAAGTCGGTAAACTACTGGTTCTGTCCACTTCAGAAACAACTATCATTCACCGAGCACATTCATTCATCACAGATTGATCTTACATTTCAACGAACCAACTCTTGTCTATATGTATAATGACTAGAACGATTTGCGCACTTTTTTTTCTTGAGCAATTATACGATCAATTAAGCTATAATGACAAAAAAAGTAAAGGTTGCTAAAAAATTGACAGTATGGACTTAGGTTGATAGTACTACAATTTAAATTCCATGTGTTGATAAAAATCGATGAAAATCAAACATAAATTTATTATTAACATTTTCTACATTTTAATGACTATGAATTTATTGTTTATATCTGGTTAGTGACATAATTTTAGAAAAAATATGACGTAACAGCAATAAGTGCATTAGTATAGCACTATATTAACATTAGTAATTATCTTATATTACTGAATTATTTCGTTAATTGATAATGCATTGTATGCAAGGGATTCCATTTGCCTACGTTTTTTAAATACAGTGGTCGTCCAGTATAACGAACGCTCTATATTACGAATTTTCGATATAACGAACACCCAAAATATTTACATTGATTGTTCTATATAACGAACGAAAAAAAAAATTCTGCTCCATATTACGAACAAAAAATTTTTTGTTTCTTATTCGTTTTTGTTTTATACAAATTATGCTTTTGAATATAATTTTACTATAAAACTAGCATTATTCAGCTTAGAATATGCATGTAATTGTCCGTTTTTTTTTTTCTGAGAAAAAAGCCTATATATGGCAAAATGCATATATGCAGGCGCCACTGATCTGTTGTTCACAAATTCCATTTATCATATACGAAATACTATCCAATACTATCTAACTATTTATTGTTAGTGTGACATTAGTACATACGAAGTTAATAAATGGAATAATGCTGATAATACCATCGATGTCTCGGACGAGGATGATGGATCTGATGACGAAAATATAGAAGAAAATAATTTAGAAATTATTAAACATAAAGATGCCATAAATCATTTCGAAAAATGCATAAAGTGGGCGATTAACAATAATGAAACTTCAAAATTAGCTGTACTAAGAGAACTACAAGAAAAAGCTGTTCAGAAAAGTCTTGAGTGTAGTAAAAAACAAACAAAAATTAATGATTTTTTTTACTCTACACTATGATTGAATGCGTCCTTTCTTATAAATAATTTTTGTAACAACCGAATAAAAAATACTTTTAAATAAATATATACTCGTACGTGTTTATAAGTTAATTTATGAACTCAAATATATGAAGTCTCCTAAAAATAACCATATTGGTAGGTAAATGTACAACATTCGATATTACGAATTTTTCGATATAACGAACAAGGGGTGCAACATAAAATTCGTTATATTGGACGTCCACTGTATTATTAAAAGGTAATTATATGGGCTTATAGCCGTTATTGTCGTAATTATGTTATTGATGAGTATTTCGAAACGACCATGATATAAATTATTCCAATAAAGTACACTTAGTGTTTTAACTCCGAAAGGTAGTCTCCGATGTTCTGTGTAGTTCCAGTTATGAAGTTAGTGTTATCCAATACTTTTATTTCGTTCTCTGATTGGTTTCTATACCAATATACCACTGGGTTTGTTAATCTTTCTGTAGTACTACTTTATGTAATAATTCTGGCTTCTTATTATGAAGCTTTGTAAGTTCACATATCATCACTTTTTTTTATAAAGTTTGTGAGTGTTCAATAAATTCTAAAATGAGTTGTTATATTCATATATTTTAATTATCTTTAAATGTTGTTATTTCAGAAACTCCACTGGATGACCTTTATTACGCGTCTGATCGCAGTGGTTTGATACGTCTGTAATTATGATACAGTAGTATATTTACCAATCGCAATTCATCCATACAAAATGTTGGGTCTTATGTATTGTTTATAGGCCAGCATTTTGTGTTGAATGCTTAGCCTCTTTTGTAAGAATAAGTGAAGTGAGGTAAGAGTTGCGTGCCATAACATACGAGCTTTTTTTCTTATGTGCCCGTTCCTTTTGAGCTTGAGTTTGATACGTCTGTAACTACCATATGCTACAGTAGTATATTTACCAATCGCAACGCATCCATACAAAATGTTGGGTCTTATATATTATGTACAGGCTAGCATTTTGTGTTGAATGCTTAGTTTCTTTTGTAAGAATAAGTGGAGTGAGGTAAGAGTTGTGTGCCATAAGAGCTTTTTTTTTTTATATGCTCATTCCTTTTGAGCTTTTTATAAGACATTAGATTTAGATATTTTTATTTTGTTTTCCCGTTCTATGAGCTGGTCCTACATAATCAGATTTATTGAACTTTGTTTCTTTTTTTCTGGTGATAAAGAATCTGGTCTACTTCTTTTCCACTTGCCGAAATATCTTGTTATTTCATTGATGTGTTCGTGTAGATTTGCTTAAATGAATGTGCAAAATACACTCTACTCTATTTTGTCAGAGTGCATTATGCAGGTGTCATCTACCTACAATGATAGTGTGTTTCTGAATTTAGTAGGGACGTCCGGTATGTACAAATTAAAGTATGGCGAGAAGTAGACTTATAAATGACGAATAAAAGGGAACGGTATCTTTAGATTTCAGGGATTATGTTCCGCCCATAAACGATGTAGGGGACAATAATGTTTTTATGCGAAGAGAGTAAAAACTACGATATGTAAAACCCGTACTTTTTAATATGTCTGTCATGTTATTTAGAAGAATAGAATGAATAACTGTTATTAGCATTAAAAAATTTATTTATAAGTCTGCTTATAAATAATTTAGAAATACAATTTTATACAATATTTTGATTGCTTTTATTATTTTCTTCTTTTTATTAGATGCAAAAATTGATTTAATTTAAGAAAATAAATTCTTGAAAAAGATAAATAAATAACGTGATAGATAAGCTGATAAGAGTATAAAAAATACGCATGCTGTCTAAAGACAAGTCAAAGGTTACAGTATATTTTTCAGACTCAAATTAAATATCTTATTATAATTTTGAACAATTAATAATATTAAATGAGAATTCGGTTATTAAATTTTATAAAATATATATGAAAGTTCTTATATTAGAAACCTAAGACTAAAATTCGTTATCCGCTTTAAAAGTAGGTTGGCTTATAGTTACTACTACTTACTTATAAGACGTTTACCCCACGTGTTTACTTACATTCTTAAGAATAATGGTATTAAAACGATTGTTAAGGTAATTTATTACGTTTGACTGAGCACTTATCACTTTATTCAGTAATCTAGATTATACTAGCTATTTAAAATCTTGTAGAACATACGTTAATGTTTTTTGATATATAACGAACGACTGCAAATTGGTTTTTTGTATATTATAATAAATAAAAAATTTTCTTTACAGAAACATATGATGTCTGACAAAAAAATTCGATCTGACACAATTAATCAGGTTTAACATCAGGTCAAAAACGTCTAACACAGATCAACTAGGTCTGATATGAACTAAATTGTTTTATTAGTATTTTATTAATTATTATTATTATATTACTTGTTTGACGAGATTATTATATTATTACAATGAACACAATTGACCTTATGGTTGAGGTGTTGTCAAGGTATTGTTCATAGTAGCGGTAATTTTTTTTTGCAGAGTTGAAAAAAACAGCATTAAATCTGGTTGAAACAAATTGGCATCACTTTTCAAATATATTAAATGCTTTTTTTTATGAAATATAATAATTGTAAATACTAAAAATTAATTAATTTAAATAAAAGAAAACAAAATGAATATTAGAAGGGCAATGGTAAATATTTTTATTATTTAATAAATAAAATGCTCATACAATTTTGACGGGTATTTGAAATTTTGCAACATATTTCCAGTATATATTTACATTAGACTGGAACTTAAGACGTTAAATTTTTTGTGAGTAAAATCTAACTCTGAAGATTTTAAGAGCATTGTTGTTGTTTCACATCTTTTATTTCGTAAGTTGTGAGTATTTTTCTGCTGCTCTGAAAGAAAAAATTACTGCTAGTGTTATCAATGTAAGGAGTTTCAAATTCTAAGGATCGTTATCTTTAGAAGTAAGTAATTTTGACATAAAGTGTATTGGAAAAAGTTTTGTTTTCATTAAATTCCTTACTAAATTGAATATCTACATATAATGTCATAATTTTCTCCAATGCCTGTAGACAAAAAGTTAACTCCTTAAAAGACTTGTACTTGTAAGAATGGCTAGAACTAAGAACAATTGAATTAATAAAACTTACGAAATGACTTGCCAGAGTTGGTTGAGAAGGTCTCATATCAGATCACATTACTCCAAATACTTTTATTGTCATAATAATTGTAATAATAAATATCACATTGATTGTGAGTACAACAATCACTTTCTATATCTTTGTTCCAAACGATAGACGAAGCAGAGTTAATGTAGGTAAGTAGACTTGAAAAATGAAATTATCCACTTTACGGTTCCAAAATTATATAAAATCTACTTTTTTTGTTAATTCGGTATGACCGGGAAATCAGATTTGCGTCAAATAATGAAATATTTATTAATTAAATAAATTTAATTATTTTATTTCGCAATCATAATATGTGTCACAATTTAATATCTACTTTAAAACATAATAAATATAAATCAGTTGACACAAGTACAAATAAACGAATGTAAACAAACTTATAAGTATGCAAAGACATACACGATAACATCATCGATAGCATTTAATTCAAGTAATTTCGTTCAATTTAGTCACTAAATAATTTTCTATAAAAATTTTCTGAATCAGTTAATAATTTATCATAAAACGGCCAACTCGAAATGTACGAAACGTTTTAAAAATTCAAAAAAAAACAAAAAAAAGGAAAAATAATAATAATTTCAAAATAAATAAATTGCGATAATATTTTCAAGTGATTTTTGTAAGCCGTTTCGGAAGATGAAAAATGTGCAATTAGATTAAAATCGAGATTTACATGAACGAATGTTGAAGAGTAAAAAAATAAAATACAACAAAATGCCAACAGTAACCTTCAGGTATGTGAAAAGTTGACTTAAAGTGTCGCCTCCAATATCGATAGATCGAAAACCACATAAGACTTATTCGGGCGATAAGCGAATTCTACTGAATTCTACTGGCCGGCGTAAACGCGTGTCGCCGATTTGAAGAAAATCAAATAAAAAGCCAGAAATTAGCACATTTGTGACATTTTTCAAATGCGACTTGTCGCGAAATAACAACTTCACATTTGTCAGATACGAGATCAGACGCAGCGAAGCCAGCTGCGTCACTTCAATCTTGGCTACTTCAATCTCGATCTCGTGAAATATTGCATATTTTATACAACTGCACAATTAGTGTTGAATTAACTCGAAGTGTGGATTTAATTTTATTTTTGTAATAATTCAATATTATTTACTTAAATACTTAATTGCTAATATATGTGCATAAAGCAGTGGCTTTATAAATAGAACTTTCTATATTAGATCTCAAATAATTATTATAATCTATCTGTTAGTCCGCTTAAATGATAACGATAAATAAGAAATTTATTTGTTTTTATTTGTTTAGAGAATCATAAAATTAAATAAAACAATATTTTTACATTTCAAAAGTAGATGAAATTGATTTTTAAATAATTTTTAGTTAATTTTTGTTTAAAATGTTTTATGTGCAATCACAACAAATAATTTGAAGGGATACTTAATAACTCATTTCATCACAGTTAACGTCAACTAATCCAGTACAGATTTTCGTTTTTGCGTAGCAGACTCTTTCTATCCTGGAACTCTATCGGGAATATTTCAGGATAGGGTCCCTATGTTGATTTTTGTGTTTCTTCGTTAGGCTGCGTCCAGGTCACGCTTTGTTTTTTTTTTTTAATTGACCATTTTCTAGATCATATTTTTTCCGTTCGTTACGATCATAGTAACGAATCGGTCTATGTCGGTTCAGTTTTCTTCAGATAGCATCACTTTCGTTGTGATATTTTTGATGTTTATTTCACCGCCTATTATATCAAGTGATGTTCCAACAATTATTATAGCTACAACACACTTTACAGTAATAAAATTTTATTATTTATTAAGGTCGTGTGCGAGTTAGGCTAAGTTGATGCTAAACCAAATGGGAGATTTTTTGGGATTTTTTGCACTGCACACATTTTGCAATTTATCAACACGTATCGACACATCAATACATTATCGACACAACTTAGAATTTCCCTCATTTAGAACGCAACTTAGCCTAACTCGCACACGACCTAAGTAATTGAATTTTTGGCTGACCATACAGCTGTTTCGAGTATTGGCAAATATCTATCTTCAGTGATCTTCGAAAAGTTTCCGGAAATTTTAAATAAAACGCAAAATTCTTTATCTTCATCAATATTTATTTTATCTCCTTCAAAATATGCTCCATTAGAAGCGATACACAAATGCCAACGTTTCTTCCAATCATCAAAACATTTTTTATAGGCGCTTTCCGGTATGGCTTTGAGTTTCCTCTGCGAATTCTGTTTTACGTCTTCTATGGATTCAAAACGCGTTCCTCTGAGTGGTAATTTGAGTTTGGGAAACAGGAAAAAGTCACACGGTGCAAGATCAGGTGAATACGGGGGCTGTTCGATGGTATTTATTGAATGTTTGGCCTTAAAATCGTTGATAATGTTGGCTCGGTGCGAGGGAGCATTATCGTCATGAAAAATCCATGAATTATCCTTCCACAATTGAGGCCGTTTACGGCGGATATTTTCACGCAAACGTCTTAAAACAGTCAAATAATAGGCTTTATTGACTGTTTGTCCTTCAGGGACGAATTCATGATGCACCACACCACGAATATCGAAGAAAACAATCAGCATTGCCTTGATTTTCGAGCGACTTTGGCGTGGTTTTTTCGGTTTCGGCTCGTCTTTTCCTCTCCATTCCGATGATTGTTGGCTTGTTTGCATGTCGTACTCGTAGACCCATGTCTCGTCACCCGTTATGATGCGTTCCATGAAAGTTGGATCGGAATTGGCACGATCAAGCATGTCTAACGAGACCTGTCCACGATGGTGTTTTTGGAACAAATTGAGGTGAATCGGAAAAAGCCGAGCGTTGACACGTCGCATACACAAATTGTCCACCAAAATCAAACGAGCCATCTCACGACCGATGCCTAGCTCTCGTGCTATCTCTCTAACACTCACATGAGGATTTTGGAACACGATTTCCTTTGCCTTTTCAATGTTTTCGTCGGTGGTAGAGGTCGAAGGTCGTCCAGAACGCGGCATGTCTTCGACGGTCGTACGACAGTCCTGAAAGGCTTTGTACCACTCATAAACTTGAGTTTTCGATAAAACTGATTCCCCATAAGCCTTTTGTAGCATTCGCAACGATTCTGCACACGAAATTTCGTTCGAAACACAAAATTTGATGCAAACTCTTTGATCAATATTTTTTTCCATTGTTTTTTTCGCAACGCACTACTGAGGTGAACTGGTTTCAACAGCTGCCGTAAACGAACTGTCTGACAGATCGCGCTCATTTTTGGCATAGTAATTAAGGACAGTGCTGCCAAACTACATAAACTTAAAATATCGAAAAATATACAGCGCGCGAATTTTAAATGAGAATTTCCGAAAACTTTTCGGTCACAATGTATGTCTTATATTTAATTATTTCTTGAGGCTGCAAATACCAAGGTTTGAAATCGTACCTTACCAAATTTGAAGCTGAAAATTTGAATACTGACTCTAATTTGGAGCTTAGAATCAGTATTCATTAGTCAACTGACCCAAAGCCGTACTTGACTTGTATGACCGAATTTGCTGTTATATTAGAAAAAAATCATATAATAAAAAAATTACAAATAAAATGCTATTAACAATTTCAGTATTTAATAAATATTGAAATCGAGTCCCAATTTGATTTCTGTTAAGTATATCTATCAAGTGTAATATTCTTTTATAATCTTCCACTATCTATTTTATCTTTATCAATATTTTTTACAAAATCATTTTTATATTTTTTAATAATAGTTAAATGATAAACTTTTTAAATATTTTTTATTTGTTTTAAAAGATTTTATTTTAACCGATATTTTGACTATAATCTATAGTCATCATTAGGGTACTATAAAATTTTAATACAATGTAATAATATTTTAGTACATATCACAAAGAAACAATTATAGAATACATTATCATTTAAACTTGAAATACATATATACAGAAAATAATTTTACAATACTATGGCAATAAATATATATACATAGAGAAATGATATATTAATCCTCTTCCGGATTTGTTGAAGGTGTTTTTGTACGCCTCTGTATGTCAGTTATATAATAGACTCTCATCTCACTAGGAGTTTGTAGGATGTATAGTATTTCCAAGAAAAAGCGTTTTTGTTGATTATTTTCTTGGTGTAACACCTAACATTATCAAGACCCGGCTCATGCTTTGATGTAACACAGTGTGATGCCAGTGCCGTTTTTGACGCAATAATATTTTTATATTTTACACTGTGTTTATGTCCGGCTATACGCGTCTTTAACTTGTTTTTTGTTGTACTAACATATACTAGGTTGCATATGTTGGATCCTCACCGACGCATTTGATTTGATAAACCACATTTTGTTTATCGAGAGTATCTATTTTCAATTTGGTGTTAGAGAACAATGTCTTCAGCGTGTTTTGCGTCCTATATGTAATTTTAAATTGCTATTTGTCATATATTGTGAATGCTTTGATTGAAAAGTTGAGGGACATATACTATACTTTTATAAATTTGGGTTTTCTGGTTAAGTTTTTGATTTGTTTTTCCTGCCATAATTTTATGAATTACTGGGTTAGGGAAATCATTTCTGTTTAAAAATGTATAGTGTTGTTTCTTATCTCCTCGTGGAAGATTTTGTCTCTTAACTTTAATGCTCTTAGAGCTATATATTTGGCAGTGTTCATTATTGCATAGTTATTAATCAATTAGCCCGTAAAACAACAAAATTATTATCAAAATCATTTTTATAACATTATAATATATATTTTAAAAATAATTAATTTGAAATGATGCTTGCACCCTACTGAAAAATATTAAAATGAGCATTTTTTTATTGTATTTATTTATTATAATAAGCTAAAAAATATTTTAGAAAGGAGCACAATCTCACGTGGTTTTCATCTGAAATATACTTTTCATTACTTTAACTCGTTAAAATGATCTATACATGTTTACTTCAAGAATTAATTTCTTATATTCTAGTAGTTAGTGTGAAATTTTTTATCTAAAACTTCATAAAACGTATTTATATGAAATCATTTGAAATATTTTTGAATATATGAAATTTGTTCATATTATCGTATTGCTGATATTCAACCACCGATCCTAAAGATTTCGTCTTTTTTTTTTACATTAGCATAATAATTAAACATTGTTTCTGATGGCAGTTAAGCTCATAACTATTTTATAGCGCAACATACATATATCGTACGTATATTCACGCACCGATTTGAAGATTTCAAAGTTCAGTAATTTTATAAACTATAGTTTGACATATATAAATACATAATAATACAATTTTTGATTAAATAAGTCTAATTAATTAACAAATTTCTCAACGTAATAAAAAGTGTATTCTAGTCCGCAGCTTCATAAAGTACAGTGATAAAATAATTTTAATTTAAATTACAAGTAACTATCATCAATATATTAAACTTAATTTAACACAACTCAAGGTATTAAGAAATTCTTTTATAGATTTACAATATAAATAGTGCCGCAATATAGCATATGAGATGACATTATGTAATTATGCAACAAATAATGCCTCTACAATCAGAATGGTATTAAAATTCAACAATCAAAGATAAAAATATAACTAATTAATTCAATTATTCTACAGCTAGTTTATGATTCCGTTCTAATATAAACACAGCAAGTGAATTTGTTAATAAAACTTTCACAGCAAAGTAAGAAAACTCCAGAAAAATGTGTGAACAAATTTTGGGTTATTTGGTTAAGGAGCGCTGACTCTGAGCTTCAAATTTGGCAGG